CAGGAATGTCTTCTGGTTTTACACAGCATCGGCTTTCGTCTATTGCACTTGCAGTTTTGGACTATGACTCATTAACAATTAAGATTAATGTTTCTTCCATGGATTTGAAACAAGTTCGAATTCATTTTCCCACAGACTTTAACATTTTCTTAAGCATTTCAGTGGCTGGCACGTATTTTCTTCTGTTCAATCATCATACTGTTTTTTAAAGGCAGGGAAGAAGTATAATTAATATCCAATTACACTATAGGTTAAGCAAGAAATGACCATGAGAGACTGTAGATGGGCTTTGTTTTCCTGTCTGTTAAATATTTTGAAAAGTCAGTTTTGGTCACTCTCTTCTTATAGAATAAGACATTCCTTAACAACAGCCTAAATTTTTCTTCTTCCTCCTACACATTTAGTTATTCATTCATGAATGCACTCCATGCTATTAAAATGCTGGCATTCTAGCTTCTCAAAAAAATATACATATATATCATGGTCATGAATTTGATTCACTGTATGCATAAAGCAGGGATAAAGAGAGTCCAATCACTCAATTGAGTGTCAAACCTGCTGATTTTGCTGTGCTGACTTTGTCTTATTGTAAATGTTTACAAAAATGGAAAGGTCTTGGTAAAGTGGCTCAAGATGTCTTTCTGCCTTAGTAGCGTGCTTTGAAACACTTCGACTACGGTAGTCCCACTTTTGCACAGAATTTTGTAAACTTTCCACGACAAGAATGTTTATGCTGAATGTGCTATTCACAAAAAACAGCATGGGAAGGGACAGTCCCACTTCGCACAGAATAGAAATTTTAGCTTGTTGTAGCATGTTTCGAAACATGCCCCACGGAAGCAGCGCAAATGCTGAAGTTGCTTAATACAGAATTGGGTAAGATGGGGTGCAGGTCCTTACGTCCTGACAGAAGTTACCGGATTTCACAAGTGACTTCCCTAGATCACTTCCTGGCTGCCCCTGCTCTGCGCAGGCCACGTTTGGTACCTCCTCACACTCACAGGGCAGGACACCATTGTCACCGCGGAGGTCTTGGTCTACCTCACCTTGCTTTTAGGTGCCTTAGATGTCCCACTGTCTCCAATATATCCATACAGGGGTGACACAAGACCTATGGGAGAGCCATGGGCTCTGGAGTCTTAGGAGAAAATCAGGCTTGCTACCTTAGGCTCACAAAGACGGCACCAAAAAGATCTTTTTAGGTAACTGAATGTCACCCATAGTGACCAATTGTCTTTATCACAATTGGATGAAATTCTGTGCATTAATTCAAGTGTTTCACCAGGATTTTCTTTTTAATCCTTTTGCTTTTATTACTTTCTAGTGTGAAGAATATAGGTATCCAGTTATGCCTTTTGATAAAGATGAAGGAAGACCATGCTAGGCCGATGTTAAAAACCTTCTCGAGGCAATTTGCTTTCGCTTTATAAAGCCTCTCGTGGTGGGCAAGTCAATGGCCAATGCAGGACTAATACAGATTTTCAGTATCTAACTGCCAGTTCTCTGCATGCAACGCATTTACTGTATCAATTGCTGTGGTACTTAAGGGACTTCTACACATGCATTAGGTGCTACATAGACAAAAAGTAGCATCCTGCAACTCTCAGTGTCTGCTATGAAAGGGTTGATACTTGTCTGTTGCCAGAAACAGTGGTGTTGCAATTTGTTTCGTTATACAGCAGGATTTCTGAAGTGCTGCAGTCATGCTAATAACTTCTTTGCATATCTGGCAGCTTCTGCATATGCATGGATATGCATATAACTTCTATATGCTTTGTATGTAAACTAAGTAAATAAGATTCATTGGTAGGCAAAAAAAGTCTACACCTGGTGTCATCCCAGAGAAAATAAGGAGAGAAATGCAAGAGAAATGCTTTCAAAAGACATACTGGAAGGATTTTGATCACCTGCCAATGTTTATCATTGTAGCTCCACATACTGCCATGGAACTGTACATTTATACCTCCTCTGTACATCAGCTGAGGACCCGTGTAGTTGAACTATGAAGTCCTAAGGCCTTAAAACACCCTGCTTAATATTGAAGAACTTCAACCAGATGAAGGGCTAAGCTCTCTGTTTCAAGCCTGTCTAATCTAACCTGTCTATCCAGGACCTTAAATGACTTTCTATCACAAGAGAGCCTCTGCACCTCCCGTCAGGGCATCCACCAAGAGGCAGCTCTCTCTCAGAGCTTCCTTTCAGTCCCCACCTGCCCCCCTCTTTTCCGTCAGACGAGACGTGGCTTGGTTTATACGGTGTAACTCTCTTGAGCTGCAGTACTATTTGTGGGCAGGTGAGGTCAAACAAACAAGGTCTTGCACCGAGCCCTGAGGTTTGCGGTCATGCTGATGGTGGGAGTCAGCCCTGCTCCGGCAGCTCACTGCAGGGAGAGCGTGTGTCTCCTGCATTGCTGGACTTTTACCTGCAGAGCAGGAAAGTACTGTAGCAAGGTGGGGGGAAGGATGCTTTTACTAGATGTGTTTCAGCTACGAGTTCGTGCAGTCTGTCCCACCACCCCTTAAAGAGCTGGGGAGGAGGACATCAGTTGACTTAAGAGGATGAAACAAATCACCTGGATTTTAGCCTCTTTGGCCCTTATGATGTTACAGACACCAGTGTATCTGGGGAGTGGCATGAAGCAAATTTAGAAAAATGGTGAAAAAAATCCACATTCTAAGAAATTATACAGGAATCCAGGATTTAGTCTCTTTTTCATTTGCTTCAGGCAGCACTGTATCCTGGCACCACACAAATAAGAAAACATTAAAGCATTTTGCAGCTACTCTGCATTCCACTTTGCACTGGTTTACACATTTGACCAGGTGCAAATGACAATGGAAGGTGCAAATAATCTGTAAAATATCCCCGCATTGTCTTGCCCATTTCACAGGATGTAATGTGCTGGGTAGAGCCTATTTCCCTCTCTCTTTCTCTCTCTCTCTCTCTTTCAAATTCCTACGGACATAACAAACTTGAGAACTGCCTGATGATTCTTGGCTTTACTTCAAGCTGAAGCAAAGACGACTTTGTGCCACTTTTTCTGGCTTGACTGAAGAAAGTCTTGTGTCATTACTTTACATGACAGTTGATCTATGTTTATGCTAAAGCTTTGAGACGTTTTTGTTTCCTTATTCTGCTTCCAAATGCGCTTGGTGCTTGAAACTCAGATTACTTCTGGTGTGTAAGACAATTCAGGGTCAATGCCTGTGCATTTTGTTTAGGCAAAAATATGTCCAAGATTCTAATTAAATCGATATTCGCTTACTTAGGTGATAAACAATTATTTATTTTCAGGATTATGAGAAAATAGTGGCAAATCCAATGGGAGGAAATATTTTAACGTGAAACTTTGTTCCCTAGTACTATTTCATACCAATAATTTTCCTTTTTATAAGCTTTAAATGAAACCCTGCCTCCATGAAAATCAATGCATGTTTTTGCCATAGACTTGAGGCCAGGATTTCCCCTTTTTATGTATTTTTCACAGAAGGCCTGATCCTGATTCTGAAAACACTTAAATGAATAAATTAACTGAGATCCCATTGATTTCAATGGGATTTGTCATCTGAGTAAAGTTTATTGCTTGCCTAAGTGTTTGGAGCCTGTAGTGCAGACAAATGCTGTAAGCAAGGTTTTTGGTGCTGCTTTTTTCTTAGACAGTGGCTTGTGACTCTCCAATAGTGAATACTTATTAAAGAAAAGGAAATAGAAAATAGATACAGCAAACCTAAACACCAAAAATCATTCAAGATATAATTAGATCTTCTGTAGGACAAGATCTGCAGTGAAGAGATTGCTCAGTGTTAATGAATATTAACTAGGATTTATCCCTGAGTGGGGAAAGCTGAGGGTTTTAATTTTATTTCAAAGGTAAAGACTGGTAGATTTCTGAAAATAGCAAGTTTTATACTCTTTTCTTTCCCCCTGAAATTTTGAGTGCATAATAAATGAGCCACTGCTAATGTCACAGTTGCTAATTTTCACAACCATGACTGAAGTGATGTTCGTTTCCATTTGCATTTCATTCTAACAATGATGAGAGGTGATGAGTTGATGATAAGCTGTTTTCACTGTACTGCCCGCTGTGCAAATTTATGCTTATAGGCAAAGATGACACATA